TTGAAAATGTGAAACAATTAATCAAAACAAAAACAACGGTCTGATTTATATGACAAAACAATAAAAACAAGTATTAAAGACAGCAACCTACGACAACTTCTGACGTAGAGGCTCCTGACTTGGGCCATGAACAAGGTGGGGTTAAACATGTTTATGGGCTCTAAAACCTCCCCTAATCTTGGACAGTGTCATGACAGCACAATGTAAGAACGAACTTTAAAAACCTGCTGGGAATGGTTTGACTCTTCAGATTGGCACAGATCACACAAAAAACTAACATAAAGACAAAAAAAACACACACACACACACACAACGGACCGATCTAAGAGTATATAATTGCAGCTACTAAAACTAAAACCTAATCCACAACTAATTACCTAACAAATAAATAAATCATATTCCCCCAGACTAAGGTATCAACCAATACACATCAAAAATATAATTAAATAGTATCGACTGGATGTATGACCGCAATTTTTCATAATTGTATAGCAACACATATTTAGTTATGTTTTAAAGAATCAAAATCCAAATCAATACTACTACCGATAAAAACTATATTCAAACATCTCCCTACGGTGTTAGATTGATAACCTATAAGAATAAGTGTAATTCAAAGTATCATTGATGGATCTTAACTGAATTCATCATTAAGATAATGATGTGATATCCCGCTTGTCATAAGAATTCCACATGCATGAACAGTCAAACTTCCAAACCTTTGTATCTAGGAAAGATATTTGTTAAAGTTTTTAGTAATTTGTGGTAACTAATTGAATAATTAAACAGTATACATAGAAAATGTTCATTGAAATCTAAAACATAACTACAGATACTGGCATAGCAAACAAGTTTGGAAATATTTCAGAAAATGGGGCGGACCGTCAGCCATGGAATAACATCAAAATGAACATGTAGTACCATAGCTAAGCTTCGCCTACTTTCCTCTTAGATTCTAGTTGGGTTTCATATATGTTTAGTTATCAAAGTATGGTACAACATCACATTGCAGATAAATTAAAGACTATGTATGCATGAGTTTCCCCTGAACACACTTTTAAAGCAAGTTATTTCATTAAAACATCATAAGAAAAAATACACTTTTTATTACAAATAGTACATACACAATAGGAAACGAACAATCGTATCTTTCGTTCTCAACTTTTGTTTATAGTTTGTTTTCAATCTGATTAAAATGCAGATCCTGTGTCCATGCTCCAATGTTTCCTGTGTGAAACTGAATTATCCAAATCTAAATAAAAGGATAATTATTGCTGTTTATATTAGATTTATTTTATGTTATTTCCCATGGGTAAATTTCCGCATTGAAGTTAGAGAGGTCTTGCATGATTATTCAAAGCAAAAATATCTTCAAGTGTTATTAAATTCTTCAAATAACTGGAATGTACACTGATTTTTATTGAGTTTGACCATAAACAATGATTAATTGTGAAGAATGCCTTCAACTTGTTGATAAACTATATTGCCAAAACGTACATATATGCTGCCAAGGAGAAAATTTACATCTTTATAATCATTACATCACAGTTCCAGTAAGTATATTTAGCATATATGTATGTTCTTGGTTGTTCATGTTTTAAACTTTTTATTTGCATGTTAACCTAAAAGAGAATTTCGTGAGCGCGATTGACTGTATGCATTTGCCTTCCAAATCAAATCAAAATAGTTCATACGGCGTGCTGTTCGCCCGGCGCTCGAGGAATAAAATTGAGAATGGAAATGGGGAATGTGTCAAAGAGACAACAACCCGACCATAGAGCAGACAACAGCCGAAGGCCACCAATGGGTCCTCAATGCAGCGAGAAACTCCCGCCCCCGGAGGCGTCCTTCAGCATCCTATTAGTATTTATCTCTTACATATAAACCATAAAACATAACCAAATGTTAGTTTGAAATGGTAACACAATTTTGTTGGGACAAATTATAGACATAGACGGTGAAAAATAAAACATCACAAGTTATAAAACTGAAAACTAAAGCAAAACATCATGCAAGAAACTATCAATCTGTAAAAAAAATAGGGTTTCAGGATGTGTAAGCAATTCCTGTTCACCAGCAGTGGCCATCGTCATACCTGGTTGCTAGATTTCGACAAGCAAACATATATTTCATGATCAGCCATATAATATAAAAGAATTACAGAATTTTAGTCAAAACAAATTAAACACACTGGTTTCGTTGTCATATATGTAACACAGATATTCCGTAACGGTAAAAAAAGTTATGCTATCCTTTAGTTTAGACTTGAACTTTCTCATAAAAACCATCTGCAGCTTAATTTCTTCTATACGCAGCAACCCTCAAACGATTGATTGATTAATTGTTGGTGATTAACGCCACTTTTAGCACTATTGGTTATAGTATGGCGCGGTCAGTTTTTATTGGTGGGGGAAGTCGGAGTGCCCGTAGAGAACCCGTGACCTTCGGTATGAAAACTGACAAAATCTAGTCAATTAAGATTGGAGCCGAACGCACGAACCTGTTCGAGCTAGCCCACAGCCTCCATAATACAGTAGATGAACGTCTCACAGGGGCGGATCCAGGATTTTGGAAAGGGGGGCGTAGTATTAAAGTTCACCGAGCGGAGCGAGGCGAACATTTTTTTGGGATCTTTTTTTGGCTAAAAAACATAAAATAAGGGTTAAATGCATTTTATAGTTAAAGTGTAGGGGTTGGACATTTTTGGTGCCGTCAATTGTCTATTATGAAATGATTGGATGGATCCAAAGCTATGTACTAATTAATATATTTGATGTGGGATTTGTCAGTAAAAAATGGACATGGAAAATTCTCGTTTGTTGTATGGTTAGTTAGCATAACCTCACAGGGTTCTTGTTGTAAACAAGATATATGGCTATTCAATGAAATTTACAATACGACCGACACGAAGAAAGACAAACAAGCAATTTTCATCCAAATGTTTGGTTGAAATGTTTTACCCAACAAGGGAAGTGAGGGGTTCCAAATCAACCAAAGGCTACGAATTAGTCGGAAATGACAATGAAGTTGTGAATGACGGTCGACACATGGAGACATATAGGCCACACCCAGCAGGCAGGTTGCAGTCGGGCCTTGAAAAAAAGTATTCAGTATATCAGTTCGGCGAAACAGACATTCCGGTCAGATATGGGATTCACATGCAACCCCCCCCCCCCCCCCCAAAAAAAAAAATTACGCCCGTTTTTTATTCATCATGTTCATTTAATGCTAAATAATTCTGTTGAAAATATTTTTTTCTAATAGCAAAAAAGTGGACAAGATTATTGTTTTCAATCCAGATACGGCCAGAATTTTTGTTTGAGGCAAAAATCAGGGTCAGAATTTTTTCTCTAAAATATCGCAGACTGCCCCCTCAGATCAAATGGTCCGTACCTTAGACTTTAAATCTATATCTAGAGCTTACTGACTGAGGATCACTATTCAGCAATGTTATTAATGGGCTGGGGCGTGTGGGTTTAAACATGTTTTCGTAGGTAAATAATATTGCTGTGGAACTTTTTTTTTCATGAGAGTGTAATAGAGTATTACTTTCTGTTGGGTGGAATTGTGAAATAGAAGTCAATACGTTCTTGCTCACATCTTTTGTCGCTTTGAAGGCGTCATGCTTATCATCCTCAGCCTAAGCAATGTGTTACTGTAATTTGAATTTCAAAATGACTAAGTGACGTTTTTTCGACGAACTGGTCAACTCCACCGTAGAGAATCACATGACTTTGACATAATCAATAATATATTACAGTAAATACGAACGAAAATATCTTTATAAGTAAAGAATTGTCGCATAAAAATGAAATACACGGGAAATGGCAAAGTTCACGAAGTCTAGTCCGATTAATCATTTTACAAAAAAAAAAAAAAAGTGCAAGCAAAGGGGGGGCGTACGCCCTCTACGCCCCCCTCTGGATCCGCCACTGTCTCAGACCACGCAACCACCAAGCCCCCATCAAACGAGGAAACACGAGTTTTAGAATACTGATCAGTTAAATGTGCTCAGCTAGAATGTTGCTACAAGAAAATATTACTTGGTATTTCAAGTTCAAGGCAGGGATATATGCGGTCTGTATGGTCATCAAGCTTTGTTTATCCGAGTGTGTAATAACTTCATCTGTATTGCAAAATGTATCAACTATAAGCCTCTTTTCATTCATCTCTATAGGAACAATTGTGCTAGAGCTTGCCTCAGCTTACGAATAAGGAACAAGTCGGTGATAGGACTAAAACATTTGGCTCCAATACAAATACCAGCTGTATATTATATTACTTTGAACCTTCAACTTGCATGATGTTTTGGATATTGACTTTTCACCTTTGACCTTTTAACATCAGGCCTTACCTAATATACCTGCATGTTCAGAGATATATTGAAAAAATCAGTTACCCAGTAAATATAAGTTTATATTAAAAATCAGTCATACAACCAGATGATAAAAGTTTGAAGAAAACTGTTTGCTGTAATCAGAATGTTATAATTGGTCCTCCCAAGGATTTGTATAGAGAGTATGTATCACTATACATGATCCATTGTGATCCTTGGTCCTTCCTAAAAAAATATTTGTACATTTTTTGTATCTACGTTGGTCATTAAATAAGGAAGTGATTTCCCAGATTAGTACAAACCTAATATCTTCATTACTGGAAACTTTTTATATACCGGAATACAGGGAAATGAAATCAAATCTGACTGGGTAAGACAACTATATCTATGCGAACACAAATACCTCAGTCTACCCTATGATATATGTTACTTCAAAAACGGTTTTGTCAATGGTTATTGCTCTTTGTCCCACCAAACTGTTCAATTGCGCTTCTCAGAAAAATGAATGCTTATTCTATTCGCATATAGGAAATATCTAAAAGATCATATAATTATGTGACATATGAGGTGGCAGGAAAAGGTTGTCGTACAAAAGGTAACTAATGTGCTGATGGCACCGCAATCTTTAAGCGATTATCCCCCTTTTTTCGAAATAAATTCTCAACAGGTGTCCTTGCCATTTAATTTCAATGGCTGTGTATCAGAAATGACGAATTTCTTAGTCAACAAGGCCTACTCTATTCTTGCGTAACTTGGGATCGAACCAGCATCTTTTATAACAGATGAATAGGTGAGGATAGGTTTATGTGTAGGAATTCTTTTGTTTAGCCTGGACTTGGAAACTTTTCTCATATAAATGCAAGGTAAAATAAAAACAATGTTTTCGGTATTTTTTATTAGTAAAGTTACATATTTTATAAGATATATATATTTGATCAGATATTTGTTTAATGTTTAGAAGTTAAATAAAAAAAAACAATATCTGTGACATTGCCCGAAATATCAATACTAATAAAGATGCATGGAGATGTAAAAGGGTAAACTATAAAGATCTGTTTCAGTGCTTGCTCCTTTTGTTATTGTGTTTCATAAATTGACATAATTGTCCCAAAATTTGAAGATTGTTGTAGACACTGCCAGTATCAAACAGAGAAGGAATAACCTTTAAATGCTAGTTTATTTATAATCCACCAATTAATAATTATTCCTGACCTGTCATATGGTTCGTCACCTGATTGTTGTGTAACAGGTTTTATGTTTACATGTACCTTATGGAACAGTTGTGTTGTTGGCTTTGTTTGTTAATGTTGTTGATTATGCATTGTAAGGAGCCTTATAAAATAGCGTGTTCCGATGATTGGAATAAGTCTGAAATCAGTTGGTTTGGTCAGTGATCATGGTGATGTCGATAATCATGATAATCAATTGGTATTTTGTTGTTATTGTTTCAAGAATTTTAGTATTTCTGTTGTTTTTAGCTATAGTGTTATCAATTGGTTGTGTCATGGACAGTGCACATTTTTGTTTGATTGCCATTATGGGAAGTTATATATTTAGAAATTATTGAGGAGTTTGAAAATTGCAGTTACATTTTGTACCTGCAGTATGTAAATTTTCTCTTCAATGAGAGAAACTTTAGCATTGTTGAAGAGATTTTTTTTTAAATTTTTTGTAAGTAAGCAAGTATTGCTGTGTGTTTGTTTTTTCTACATTGGCTAGAGGTATAGGGGGAGGGTTGAGATCTCACTAAACATGTTTAACCCTGTAGCATTTTCGCGCCTGTCCCAAATCAGGAGCCTCTGGCCTTTGTTAGTCTTGTATCATTGTTTGTTTTTTCTACATTGGCTAGAGGTATAGGGGGAGGGTTGAGATCTCACTAAACATGTTTAACCCTGTAGCATTTTCGCGCCTGTCCCAAATCAGGAGCCTCTGGCCTTTGTTAGTCTTGTATCATTTTTAATTTTAGTTCATTTATATGTTTTGGAGTTTAGTATGACATCCATTTTCACTGAACTAGTACACATTTTTGTTTAGGGGCCAGCTGAAGCCCACCTCCAGGTGCGGGATTATCACTCTGTGTTGAAGACCCATTGGTGGCCTTGGCTGTTGTCTGCTCTTTGGTCAGGTTGTTGTCTCTTTGACACATTCCCCATGGCCATTCTCAATTTTAATGTAAGCAAATATTTGACAGAATACTAAAATAATGTGATGACATTGATGGAAATTTCCAATGAGATTCATAATGAACATGGACATGATGGACAGTAAGTTGTATTTAAAATAACAATGTAATACATGATTCTTTGCTGGATAGAAAGCTATGACTGTAACATGTGTGTGCACATTAAAATGGAATTTTATCAGAGATTGCAAGAATGAGGGATGCATGTTGCATATTGAATGTATGCATGTACTAAAATATCATAATATGGGAATTTATCCAGTGAATTTGTATTTTATGTTTAATCTTAATTCTTCATCTAGGTTTATTTGACATAAACATGCCATCATGAAATGAAAGAAAAAATTTTCTGCATAAAGAATGATTTATTGATAAACTATTGGAGTTTAATGCCACATTCAGATTTCTTGGCTTTTTTCATGGCGGCTAGCTTTAATTATTTAGTATGAATGAATAAAAAGAGGTACTGTGTAATTTGTATACTAATGAAATACATGTAGCAAACCAACAACACTAGTTCACAGTAAAACTGAAAAGCCATATCTAGACATCAATATACATGTACATTTGTACATTAACATTCTTCTCACAAGATAACACACATGTTGTTTTAACTAAAATTCCTGTCTACATGGACAGCTGTACACATGGTTTTCCAAATTTATAAGTTTAAATTATAAAAATAATATTTATGGTTTGATGGGTTAGAAATAATCGAGTTATGAAATCAACAGAGAGTGGAACGATCAAAATGTATATAAACTTTTGCCTTTACAGGTCCCACATTCTTTTGATGGAAAATTTTGTGTATATCCTATTGGCCTGTACATGTAGTAGAAATTCTTTTAGAATTTTACTATAAATTTGACAAGTCTGTGCTGTAGGGTCTGTGACCAAGCATGTACATGTACATGAATACTGAACTCTTTCTGGAACATAATTTGTAAGAATAAGAGTGGTGACCTAAAAATGAGACAGAGAATGGTAATTAATTTGTGCCTATTTTGTTTTTAGTCTTGAATGACATTAGTTAGATGTTTGTTTTGAAAGGTCATGCATTCAGTATATTTGAGTTTGTGTCAGCAATACAATGCCCAAACTAACAGGTAAATTTAGATGTTGTGACTTTGCATTTTGTCTTCAGTTAAACTGAACTGATAAAAATATATTATTGAAACCTTATTTGGTGTTTTATCTAAACTGAAGATAACAACCTTTGGACGTATTTCACTAGTGGATGTAAATAAATACTTCCTTAAAAGGATGAATTGTATTGTGTACAAGTTCATATGGAAACCTGTGCATTTAATTGTATATATCTGCAGGTATGGAAATTAATGGGGCCCATGAGTAGTCATATATCGTTAAATTTAGCTTTGGGTATCATTACAAAATTTAATCAGTAACATTTTTTTCGTTTCAATATATACCTGTGTATTTGTATAGAGATGGAATAAAAATACTGAAAGGTACTCTGAACTGAAATAAAATGATTAAATGCATATATGTATTTATGTTGATACAAACAAAGTGTCTTCGTTTTTCTTTCTTTGTTTTTAGCATAAATTAGGCTGTTGGTTTTCTCTTTTGAATTGTTTCTCATTTTGTTATGCCTGGGCCTTTTATAACTTACTTTATACGAAATGGGTTTTGCTCAGAACAGTGGGTTTTTTTACATCCTGTCCTTTGGTCTCTAGTGATAGTTGTACCCTTTGCAATTATACAACTATGACATGTCCAAATATTATACTATACTGCAGGGGTTTTGCTCATCAGTGAAGGTTGTTTATTTCAACATCATTTGGACTCTAGTAGATAGCTGATGTCATTCATTCAAATTTAATTCCACATCTCCTTATTTTTAATGGACATGTGAAATTTAAGACAGATTCTTCGATACTGTTGATTTGTACATGTTCGCACCCTGATGAAACATGAAATACTTACAACTAGATGTTAAGCAAATTACAATCAATCAATCATCTACCGGTAAACCAGACTGGTGCTGATATCAGGATGGTTCTCTAAACAAAAGGACATAAATCATGGTTAGTGTTGAAAAACAAGATACATAGCTGCAATGATCCTTGAAAAATATATTAGAACTGTTCTAACATTTTGATGTATTTCATAAGAATAATGTTATTGACAATTTAATATACGTTCATTATCCACACATAATAATCACATCATCATAACACTTAAATACACCCGTATGACTAGAGTTTGGTTCAGTAAACAATAGGGGAAAGTGTAAACGATCTACAATTGTGTATTATTATCTAGATTCAGTAGATTTTATCACTTTCTTGTGTGATTGAAATCTATTCAGTTCAATGCTCTGGTATGTTTACATTTTGTTAACGAAATTGAATGAAATTGTAATTAGAGAAAAAAGTGATTGAACAAAGGATGATTTCTTGGTTACTGAACTTGTGATTGAAAGAAATAGAGCATAGTTATTTTACCTGCAATGATGATGTAATTAAATTTGAGATGTTTTATTGTCTTTCTCAGCATGCATTGGTATTTTTATGGACTATAAATAAGTGCTTACTAATATAAAGCTGGAAGGATTTTATATTTTGTAAATCGGGAGGTACACAGATGTACATTTTGTAAGTGTTTAAAGTTTGTATATTCAGTGTATTCTGGTATCATTTGAAAGTAAATTAGATGTTGATATTGATTTATGTTTGAAAGGAAAATAATTTTTGCAATTGATTGCTGTTTTTGTTTCAACTAATGACTGATAAATTGAGTTCTGTTGAAGATCAAGAAATTATTGGACACTCAGACTTATTGGACAATTTTCATTTTTTTTATTTTCTCAAACCATGCAAACAGACAAAGGCAACAAATTATGTACGTTGTACATGAATCCCTAATATAAGTTTGAAATACATTTCATATTTGGCGATGGCTTGGATAAAAACCATACACATGCATTGTTTGACAGACCAATAGATATATTTTAATAAAAAAGCAACTATTGAATATTATTTTCACTATTTAAACTGCATGAACAGGCTAAATTCTTGGTCGTGGTGCTAACTTTTGTCTGGATCATATTTTACTCTTGTCAACAATCTAATCTTTAATATAACATACCATGTATGTTTATGAATCATGATTCAATTTTAAGGATCATGAAATGTTCTGTACTTTCTTTTCTGATGAATGTTACCTGGCTACCATGATTACTGATGACGGCAACCAATGAAATTTCTAACTTCTAATTTTTATGCCCCCGCTGCTAGCTGAGGGGGCATTTAAGTTTTACTCTTGTCCGTCTGTACGTCCTCAAGTCTGTACGTCCAGAAATTGGTTTCCGTTCTCTAACTTTATTTAATGTATGTTTCAACACGAGTATGCTGACAAGGTCTTCACAACTGACGATTATTTAGAGTTGTCTGATCCTTGTTTGTGAATTTTGGACACAGGATCCGTATTTTAACCAGATTACTATTGTCAGTTGTCTTGGACAATTGTTTAGTAAATCTGACAAGTCAACATTCATTTTTTCGAACTTTTGACCCTCAACAAAGAATTCCAGCAAGTCTCTACTGTACACAATACACATCTGTGTTTTTGTACTGTATTGCAGATTTCATATTAATGGGATTACTGTAGGCGTATATAGTAGCTATAAGAATGTCTAATGCACAACTTTAATCCCAT